AAAATGTGTGATTGATATTGTGTAATGGGAAGAAAAGGTCTAAAGGAGCAGGGGAAGTGGGAGGGGTAGGGGAAAGAAAATAAGGGAAAAGAAAAAAATATGAGGAAAGGAAAGAAATAGAAACAAAGTCTTTGCAGATAGGGAGGGGTGGAGGGGGTGAAGGGAGGGCAGGGGAAGAGGAAAAGAAATAAGAACCAAGATATTCATGTAATGGTACTAGATCCCAATAATGAATGTAACTGTATTTTATACCTAAAGTATACCAATAAACTTAATGGGAAAAAAATAAAAATAAAAATAAAGAAAATAAAAGTTCTCAAACTCCACATCCATTAGAATTCGACAAAATTCCATTTCTGATAGACATATTTTAATGCTTTTATTAAGATTCTGAAAACAGTAAGTGGTAGTTTGTAAAGTAAACAATTCTCAAATGGCTAAATCTGTTTTCTGCAAATAAAAGTATTAAAACTTATGGTAACATATGCTTAAGCCAAAGAGGAAAAAATCTTGATCATATTTCTACTTACCCAATCGATTTTATCCACATTCCAATATTTTTTTAAATCTCGGAACTGTATTAGCATTCCCTTGAGTCCCACAACAATAATGCTTGCAAGAACACACTACAAATGAAAAAATAAGTTGAGGATGGAGCAAGATAAAGATTTTAATCTGAATTTAAAAGGAACAAGATATTTTTATTTCTTTCTTTGTTTTTTAAGTAAATACTGGAGAAAAGCTGTCACCATTTAGAAAACTAAAGTAATATTTGTTTTGTTTAGAACTACCTCATTGTACTTTAAGAATATAATATTAAATCTGGGAAATCACAGGCTAAATTTTATACAATTCTTAAAAAAACAAGACAGAAATAAAAAAGGAAGAGTAGTAAATTATAAGGGTGAATACCACAAGGATAAAAATCCCCTTAACTATAATTACTCACTTTCATTTGTGTGAAATGTGTTTACTGTAGAAAAATACATATTTATAGCAAGATTTCTCTATAATTGCTTTGAATATCAATCATCTGGTTTTTGCCTAAAGTTATTTATAACTTTCTTGAAAAGTTAGCTTGATTATTAGAAGATCATTCTATGGAAATGATATATTCTCACAGCACCAATGAAGCATTAGAATAACAAATGACTGACACTAAATCTTTTCGGACTAGGATCTTAACTTTGGTGCCTGAAATGTTTGAAGGACAAAGTGAATCACTGGTACTAATGTTCTGAGTCACACAATATAAAGGACATTTCAAGGGTGGGAAGATGGTTTTTTCCCTAGTCCCTTGCCCATATTTTCAAACAAAGTTCTGATAAAATTCTTCCAATGTCTACCTTTTGTTTTTTTGTTTTGTTTTGTTTTTTGGTATGCTACTAAGGATTGACCCTAAGGCCTCATGCTGGCATGCTAGGCAAGCACTCTACAACTGAGCTACATCCACAAAGCCCAAAGTCTACCTTTCCCAACAAAATATTTCTAGTCTCACTCCAAATGAGCACAAAATAATCCTAGCTCTCCATGTAACCATTTTCATATGTGAAATGAAGAATTAGAAGACACTACAGTGTCCATCAAATGTGGCATCTTTCCACTCCTCCTCTGATGCAACTTTTACTTAGATAAGATGGTTTTCAAGTTCAGGAATATTGAATTTACCCTCCCCCAGAATTTTATATGCAATAATTCTGATTAAAAGTGATATTAAAAGTAGATAGTGAAAAAGAATTACGTACCATGGGCAGCCAGTACAGCAAAGGTCCTATTGCATAGATGACTATAAGGATGAAAATGCAAGATATTAGACAAGCCACCTGCAAAATACAAGACAAAAAAAAAGGTCTTGAATTTTTTTATTATTTCAAAGGTATGAGTGGTGGTGATGAATTCTTAGTTCATCTTGATTACAAGAAACACAATGTTGGCACATCATTGCCAAATTGCATAGACTGTCATTATCTATATTTTGCAGCTGTAGGAAGCCAAACATGACAGCAGACAAACTGGTGCAATCAAATTAAGTCAACAATGAGAAAGAAGCAATTCCACACAAAGAAACAGGACACCATCAACTTTTATCACACATCGCAGCAATAGATTTTTTTAGTTGTTGAATAGTAAAAGTGACATTTCAGTGAAGTCCTTTAGCTTGTTGTTACCGAGCCTGATTCCCCTCCATATTTCACAGAGGGTTTTGGAGGAAATAACCAAACAGGCAGCTTAAAATGTGTCTGGAGTTCTTTGTCAGTAAGGCCTTTAGTTATGAGATGCTTATGTGAGATTATAGGCACTATCTCTGGCAATGGAAGAGACTTAATTTTATTAACCCTGAAACCTCATTGGTGTTATGTTCTAACCAACTCAGCCTGCTGACAAAGGGCAATTCAAAACATCTGATTCTTATAGCTATGCTCTTTCTGATGGAAACCTGATTTCACATAAATAAGCAAATGCTTGTGACTTCATCAAACCATTTGTGCAAGCTGTCATCCTAACAAGAGAAGAGAGGGCCTCCCAGAGGACTGCAAATACATCTACAACATAATTATGGAGACGTCAAGGAGAATTTGAACTTATCACAATGGCTTAAATTAAAAATAAATATATGAACAATCAATTTCAAAAGTTGGCAAGGACTCAGTGCAACTGGAGTTCTCAGGCATTGCTGTTGGTAATACAGCAAGGAACAACCACTTTGAAAAGAGTTTGACAGTTTCCTGTGAAGATATTCATTCACTGACCTTAGAGCAAGACTTCCTAAGAGAAATAAAAACATATGCCCACGTGAATACCTACATATAAATATTTATACCAAAATACGTAAATGTTTGAAAAGTCCCTTAATTGTGGCACACTCATACAGTGGAATACTTCTTGGTAATAAAAAGAACACGGATGAAAATAAAAACCTTCAAGCTAGTGAAGGAAGCTAGATCTAAAAGGCTATATGATTCTAAAAACAAATAAAAATTATGGGATGCCAAGGGCTGGCAGTGGTAGCAGGGAATTGAGTACAAAGGGGCATAAGAAAACTTTGCAGTAATATAACTGTTTTATATTTTGTGTTTGTGGTATATGACAATATATCTTTCAAATAAAGTGACCTATAAAACTAAAAAGGATGATTTTGCTACATCTAAATATACCCCTATAAATCTTAGTTTTAAAAAAAGGAATTGGCTAAGTGGTCAGTAACAATTGTTTGCATATACCTGTACATACCCAGAATCAGTTAGCATCAGTACTGGTCTTGAATCTGGTATTGCCAGTGGAGGGAAGCTGGGTGCAGTGGGAATGGCTATACTTATTTAGCTATTAGGTCATTCAAATAGGATAGGCCTTTCCATGTTGGCAGAGGCTGAGAGAGTCTCTTCTGTATTTAGGAGGACTGATCACCAGCCCATCTCAGCGGTATGAAAGAGAGAAATAATTCTTATATCAAAATTAAGTCATTAGTGATCATCCATAAAGCTAGAGGAGGAGGTTGAAGTATTCCAAACTATCACGATACTGACCATTTTAGGACTTGCTGATGATTTTACATAGTTAAGAATTTTTTAAACAATAAAATAAGGTCCTAATCATTCCTTTAGCCTGGAAAGATCTAGGTGTTGGTGTACAGATTACAAGGCCCATTCAGATACCCAGGAAGTGACAGTAAGTCCGTTTTTATGTATATAAAAAAAGACACAATGGGCCGGAGATTTAGCTCAGTGGTTCCAACCCCTGCTTTGCAAGCACAAGGTCCAGAGTTCTATCCCGAGTACCCCCCCCCCCCAAAAAAGACACTAATTGCTAAGTTTGTTTCAAGACAAAAGACAATGGCATGTATTCTCTTTGTGGGACTTTTTACTCGTACACTTATAAGGCACTTAAAAACAAAACCCTCAGCCTTAGGAGCTGGAATGAACTTAAACTAGAGCCAAATTCCTTCCAAGGATCTGAGCCACAAGAAGGTTATGTCACTTTTTCAAGAGCTAGGGAATGTAAAAGGCACGAAGGCTATGTGAAATGTATATTGACTTTCTGGATACTCCATGAAAGCCAATGCATTTTTTAAACTTTCTTTAGATTGGATTTTTATTCACTCCAACATATACATATAAATCATCAAAAAATATAAGATGATTTTCAGAAAATTAAGTTGAAGGTTTAATTTATAATTTAGTTCCTTTTCTATACATTGGGAATTATTCTGCCTTCTGAGAATAAGAGTTGATGGTGGAACTCTAGGTGTTCAGCAAGAAAGTGGGGACATTGAACAGCAGAAAAGATTGAAACTAGGAAAATTCATTACTTTTTGTTTGTTTTGTGGTGCTGAGGGTTGAATCTAGGGTGTTGTGCATATTAGGCAAGAACTCTACCACTGAGATATGCCAGTAGCACAGAAAACGAAACTTTAGAGCCTGAGAAAAATATTTTTTCCTTCTCTCTCCTTAAAAAATAACACCCTAGTACCAAACAAAACAGAGGGTAAAATGGCAACTTTATTTTAATAAACATATTAAAATGTTGATGATAATTCTAATTACATAAATATGAACACATATATTGAGAGATTTCCAAAAATTTGTTTACTTTGTGTGCTTTGTTTCACTGCATTTGTAACTTGTGCTTTCTTATGAATCAAAGTAGGACATGCATGATCCTTCTAATTTGAAATGCTGGCTCTGATTGTAAAGTAGTGCATTTGATTTCCAGCACTGGTAACACAGAATTTGCAAAGGCACAGCAGCCCACAGCTTTATGCGGTGGTATTCAAAGTGAGGCTTTTCTGGTTCTCATAGCAAGCTAGAGATTTTTCAAAGCTATACTTTTGAGTAAAGCTCCAAATGTTTTTAAGGTCCCTAGATATATTACAATGCACTGAAGCTATCACAGAAATTAACATCTCTAGGCAAAAACAATCCAACACAACTACACTAACAATTTTCTCTAAGAACTCTTTATTTTCCTTTACTCAGAAGACAAACAAAACTGAAGCACCTTCCACTTAATAAGTTCCAGTTAGGCTTTGGTTGTAATTAGTAAAAGTAAGTGTTCACACCCTTAATTATCCACAAAGCAACTATTTTCTAGGTATTTTATTCTTCTTCTATATTATACTAAAAGTCCAAAGACATTTTTGTTTTAAAATTATACCTGGTCATATT